CTTGGCCTCCTCGGCTGCTTGCAGCCCCTCCGCCTGCCACCGGTACTGGCGAGCCCGCACGATGCTGGGCACCTCCCGCTGCAGCCGCTGGGAGCTCTTCTTCTGCCACACATCGTACTTGGAGTACTTGGCATGCGAGGGCTTCTGGAAGCTCTCCTGCAAGGAAAGGGATCACAATGATAGCCTCCACCCAAGCCTGCCCATACTCTGGACAAGGCTTCCCATCTTGGACCTCTATCCATCCCATAGAAACATTGCCTCATCCCTGGAAATAGTCATGGTCAGATTGGACAAAGCCCTGAGCAACCTGATCTAGTTGAAGATGTCCCTGCTCATAGCAGGGCGGTTGTGCTAGATGACCTTTAAAGGTCCCATCCAACCCCAGTCATTCTGTGACTCTGTGACCCAGTCCTCTGCTCCCCCACATTACTAAAGCTAACTTTTGGCAGGCTATTTGGCACGACTTGCGAATAGAGGCTATTTCTCAAAGGCTCTGCAGAAGCAATAGACTTTGCAGCTGGGGTTTGTGCTTTCCCACCCATGGCCTTCCCATCTTTTCTCTCACTATTTATTTCAGAGAAGTGCTGCCATCCCAGTCCACTTCCCTACCTTGCCGAGTGCTGGCAGGCCCACCAGGGAGGTGGCAGAGAGGTCACGCTCTGACTTGACGGACTTGGCGCAGTACGTTTCCAGCAGAGCCAGGTCGCAGCTTCGAAAGCAGCACTCCTCCACGATCCCCCGGTTGATCCGACGGTTATTTCGTCCCACCGGTCTGCCTGCAACAGCAGAGACACTGGCATTAGCCACCAACCTGGACTGGACACTCTCCCCACCTCCACAGCACCTGTCCCTGTGCAGATGTTCCTCCACCAGCCACCAGAGACTGGTGGGTTCCACACACTTCAAAAATAGCAGTGCTTCTCCCGAACCAGCTGACATGCACCTGCAAACCAGCCAAGTTTCACGCTAAGACTTTCCCAGACAAATGCTATTGATGCCAACAGGGCTCCACACATGCCTCCAGCAGTAGTTTAAAAGCACTTTCTATGATAAGGATTTATCTCCCTCCTATACCTCTGGCATCGGTGGCCTTTTTGGATACAGCTACTGCAAGGAAGCTCAAGTCCAGTCCGACCGCCAGCACTGCACCGATTACTGTGACTGTCTCAGATGTTGATCCTGGCAAGCAAATTTCATTAGAAAGAAGCAACACAGCGTTGAGGCTGCCAACCTCCCTCCATTGGGTTGACACTCAGGCAGGTGAAGCGAACCAAGGCGACTAAATTTTACCAGATGGGACAGCTCTGAGACAGCTGCAGAAAGAATACAGACTCTCACACACGCCAAGAATAGCTATTAAACTTAATCTTTTAATAAGGGTTCCTCTCCCATTTCTGCCTGCAGAAGGATGCAAAAGCCCGTATCTCGTGCAGCAACGACCAAGTGCATTTTGTATCACTGCTTAATGATGGCCAAAGTGCTCCAGAGGAAAAGCTTACATCAGTTTTACTGCATTTCCTCCTCCTCTTGAAATAAAAGAGATGTGTAAATTTGAATTTCTATTGTAAAACAAATTTGCTTGGAAATTTTGACAGAAATTTGGCCTGAAATGAAGGGATTTTCCCCATGTTTTTTGCACGTGGCATGTTATGCACTCATGTTGTTCAGAGTTCTGCACACTGCCATGAGCACCTCTTCCCAGTGTAAGGTGCTCCAAGGGAGGAAAGCAGAGGCCAGCATCAGTGGAGCTTGCAAAAAGGATCCAGTAGCACGTGCCAGCCAGGAGAATTTGGGTATGGAAAAAAACTGAGTGAGTGGTGTAAGCGCAATGCCTAACAGTGCTCACCATGACACACCGATCCCCCACCTTCCAGCTGGCCTGCAGGAACACTCAAAATGGTCCACATTGGCCCTGTGCATGACCCGTGATCCCTTCCCTTGCACTCTGGATGAACCAGGCACTCAAGTATTTGGCCTCAGTGAAGATTTAAGGGCCGTGGCTTACAAGGAGCTAACCGATGTTCCTGGTGGGTAACCCCATCCTGGACGCCCACAAAAAGTGCCTCCAGACAAAGTGCAAAGCACAGGAGTTCTCTGTGCATACAGTGCCAACCCAACATGTGAAAAGCAGCCCCAGCTGTGCAATACAGATATGCACGTGGGATGCAGCCCTGTGTGTTCAATGCTGCCCCATGTGTGCAACACGAGCATGTATTCCATACAGCCCTCCATGCACCATGCAGCCCTCCATGAGCAATGTTGACATGCAAAACACCATGACCATGCCTAGCTGTGGGCTCTGTAACAGCCCATTCTCTGTTAAAACTGGCCATGCCCTCATTGACCGGGAGCCCTCTGCTCCATGTTGGTTCCTTGCTGCCACACGCAGAGGTCACAAGAACAAACACAGCATCAGGGTGCAGGGTGATGGGGCAGTTGACTCATACAATGAGGCCCATCTTAGTAAGCCATTTCAAATGCTCTATTTTCTGCACTCATCCCCCCTGTGCTACCACCTTCCTCTTGTTTCATTCTAGAAAAATTTCAGGCACGACCATTTAACCAGGCCCACAGGAAGGTGAGAAGGATGGTTCCCTCTTGGTAAAGGTTCAGTGAAGGGAACAGTGTTAGGAGTTTAATTTTCTCTCTGTAAATGCTTGTGGCAAACAAACACACTGGGCTAGACCCTCCCTTTAAAGGCAGGGCCCTCCAGCCATACAAGAGATGCCAGTGCAGGCAACCCAGGCAGCAAAGCCCAAAGAAGACAGGGAAGAGGAGGCAGGTTAGGCCAGCTGCATGCATTCTTCTCCATGCATGCAATGCCCAGTGAGGTCTATTGGATAGGTGCCGCTGCCACTGACATCCCACCTCGCATATGGCCCCCGCTCAGCACCTATTGATCCCAGTGCCCAACTTGCATGTGTGGCAGGCTGCTGAATCATTAGGCTGCTCCAGAAAGGCATCCTGAGCACGGGCAGAAAGACAGTTTGGAAAGGAAAGAAAAAATTCAAGTCACCCCCTCTTGCTAGCACATCTCCAGAGGGCTGCATTCACACTCCCGCTGAACAGAAGGTTGCAAAAGTGATGACACACACTGTTCGAGGAGAAGTTGAGGTTTTGAAAGGTTACATGTCTCCTCTCAAAAACAGAAGTTTCCCACTTGTAGCTATGTGTTTGCTTGGAAAGAAGAGGGGAGGAAAAAAACAACAAGGAAAGAGGGACTATTTTCATCACCATGCAGTCAAGGGCATTTTCTGGCATGGATACGCATGGGAAGATCATGTCAGCCTGTGTTAGCAAATGACCACGTGTGGCACTGCCAGGGTGAGCTTCCAGCACGGGCCACCGTGGTGGCATGGCCTTTTCCTCCCTGAGTGCTGTCCCTGCCCAGCCAGAGGGCACACGTGTGGTCCTCTGGCCCCAGTGTGCTGCCCCTTCTGTCTTGCACAAAGCTGCTGCAAATCACTCCCCTTGCTGGTACCACTTCCAGGCCCATTGCGACTGTCCAATAGGACACATTTCCCATTACATAATTGTCTGTACGATCTCACCAAATGCCAATACAATCCTCTTTGGGAGAGTTACTTTAGGGAAAAAAAAAAAGCAAACAACAAACAGGGATTTAGTCCCACACAGTACCTAGAGACAACAACCCAGGGAAGAGATGCCAGGACACTGCTGGCTAACAACAATATCAGTGCTGACCTGGATTGGGAAAAGCATTTGTTCTCTAACACAATTTACACAGGGATTAAAGGTTGAATTTCCTGGCTTTTGCCCGTGGGTGGCATCTCATTTTACTGCCACTGCCA